GGGGCTAGGGCGGCACCCCGTGTCCTCTTTTCTGATTGTTGAAATATGGTAACCCTTGGCAACGGGAGCTGTCCAGGGTCACAGGTGCCACAAGTGCCCCTGACACCCAAGCCCGGCTCTAGCACCTGGTCCCTCCGTGGCCCGTCCGGGCCCGCTGAAGCACAGCAATGGGTCAGAGGGGGGCAAACCCCCAGGCATTGCCGGGGCGGGGCCGGGATACCAGGGTGAGGGGCGCCTGGCAACACAAGGGATAATTTACGAGAACAAGCGGTACAAAGCAGTGAGCCGGCAAAGCACCCGGGGCCTCAGTCAACAGCTGCTCCGCTCTCCCTGTGCCCCCCAGGGACCCGGGTGCCCGACCCCTCGCCCCCAGCCCGACGGCACATGGGGGGCGGGTGCCCGCTTCCAACATGGCGTCCGGGGCGGCGGCCGCTCCCGTGAAGCCACTTCCTGCGGGGGCGGGGCCCGGGCGCAAGATGGCCGCGCCCAACAAGCTCAGGGTGAGCGGAGCCCAGCAAGGGGGCCGAGCCGTGTGAACGCCGGGGGCGGCAGCGCCCAGAGGCACCGTGCGGGGCAGCCCCCCGGCTGGGGAGCCCCCTGCATCCAGCCTCCCAACCCCTGCCTGGGGAGTTCCTTCTACACCAGCCCCCCCAACCCCGCACCCCTACATCCCCTCCCCTTGATCCCACTGCCCCATCCTGCCCCCTGACAACTAGCCCTCCATCCCCCACCAAGGGCAGCCTGCCCCCCAACAACTAGCCCCCCGTTCCCTCTTCCCCCTTGCCTTGTGGGCAGTTACCCCCTCTCTCCACCTCAGGGCACCCTGCCCCCCATGCACCCCAGCTCCTGTGGGCAGCCAGCCCCCCTCCCGGGCTCCGAGCTGTGCTGCGGGGTGCTGGCCCAAAGGGCTGGGGAGTGGGGACACGATCTCAGCCCAGCTCCGTGCAGGTGTTGGACCCCGCTGGGTGTCATGTGCGTAGGGTCCCTGGGGCAGAGGGCAGCTGGGTGTGCTCTGACTGGGGAACCCGTGGGCACCTGCTGATCCCAAACTCTCTGGGTCTTTCCTCCTCGGACTGGAGGCAGAGATTTGAGGGCGGTTACACCCCTGCATCCCAGGGCCAGGCGGCACGGCCTGCGGGGCGATGGGGAACGTGCTGGCACCAGTGCTCAACTTGCAGAGACCTCTGCGCCGGCAGGAGCCGCTTACCAACCCAGGCAGCTTCGATGAGCTCCATCGGAAATGCAAAGGTGAGTCTGGGCCACCCCTCCTGTGACAGAGGCACGTTGAGGGGATTGGAGAGTGCTCTTCTGCCAGCAGGGGGTGCTGCAGATACCAGGGCAGGGGCGCTGGCTGTGGGGGGAGCTCCCAGTTGCTCCAGCCTCCCATAACAGGGGTGCTGTGGCACTCGGCTCGCCTGTGTTTCCGGGGTCCCGTTCTGTGATTGGCAGCACTACGAGTGACCGTGTGCAGACGGGAGGTAGTTAACTTGTGTTAGATGGCTGGGGAAGCTGAGGTCCGAGCCCTGGACTAGTAACGGTTTAGGGAGGATGGGGGTGAAGACCCCAAGTTTCCATTCCTCCGACTCGTCCTTGTTGAGCTCAGCCCTGGCTGTGGGGCCTGGAGCACAGAGGAGCCGGCTGCCCTGTCTCTGGCTCCATGGGCCCTTGCGCTGTGTGTCTAAGTCCCCTCCGCCCTGTCTCCTTGCAGAAGTCTTCCCCCAGCAGATGGAAGGGGTGAAGCTGATCCTCAACAGGTACCTGAACAAGCATTTCCAGGTCAGTTGCAGCTCGTGCCTCCAACTGCTTTCCCTCCCCCCGGGACCCTCCAGGCCTTAGCTTAGCACCTGCTTCCCCCGTGGAGCTGGAGGGCCCCTTCCGGTGCATGCCTTGCCCCTCTTCAGGGGCTGGCAGCCAGGAGAGCCTGGAGGGATGGAGATGGGGGATGTAGGCATGTTCCCTCTCGGAGTTGGGCTGAAACCCACTAGCTGGGTACCCACCAACAGGCTGTTTGGGAAACACCTCCCGGTGGCTGGATTGGCTTGGGTGTCAAGGTGAAGATGCTGCTGGGATCTGGGCAAGGGGTTGGCACAACGAGCCGGGGCTTTGTCGCCTCCCCCACCCCTCTTGTTTGCTCTGAGGGTGCGGCCTGTGGAGACTACGCATCCCAGTGTGGAGTGCAACCAGGCAGGTTCACACTGGGTCGCCGATGGGGGGCTGTGTTCTCTGGGCTCTGCAGCCTCAGAGAGATGGAGGAGGCCCTGGAGAAGGGGAGCCGCGGCTGGGCTGGGAGGGGCAGTGATCAGGTGGCACTGTCCACGCTGGCTGGGCTGGAAGGAGCTGGAGCCCTTGAGGGTTGCAGACAGCATCCTACCCCAGCACAGCCTGACCCCCTTGTGTCCTCCCCAGGTCAGCCACACCGTTCACATGAGCACAGTCGGCCAGTCCAGCTACCACTTCCACACCACCTACGTAGGAGACCGGCAGCTCAGCCCCACCGAGGTGAGCTGGGACCCAAATGCGCAGGGGGCGGGAGCAGGGGCTGGGAGCCAGGCGTCCAAGCTCAGCTCCCAGTGCCAAGATGGAGTGGGGTCTGAGACGCCCAGATCTCAGCACCCCACAGCTCCCCTTGTTCTCAATGGGGGGCAGGGGATCCTCCAGTGTACTTGGTGGCAACTGAGCATGCTAGAAAATCTCCCCATGAAAGCAGGGGGCTGTGACCAGGACTCCTGGGTTCTATCCCCCCCTCTCTGACTGACTTGGATCCCTTCCCCCGTCTCTGCAGCAGGTTTGATCCGGAGCTCCCTGAGCGGGCAGAGGGTGTATGAAGCATGTCCGTGAACGCTGGTGGCTCGCTCTGGTGCTAGGGAGGAGCAGAGCTGGGAGAGATGCTAGTGGTGGTCAAGGCCTCAACCTCTTCACAGGGAGCTGGGTGAGGGTTGGGACCCTGGTGTTTCTGCCCCAGCAGTGGGAGGGGTCCCCTGCTGAGGGATGTATGGGATCCCCACATAGGCTGCGTTCCCTGGCAGGTTAGTGACTGAGCCACAGTGGAGATTTCCTCTGCCTGCTGGGTGGACGTGTGACCTGCCACCAGCAGCCGCTGGGAGCCAGCCCTGTCGCTCACCCCCCGTCTGGGGGTTAGAATCCCTGGATCCTGCTCATGTGGGCATCCAGCTGGCACCGTCTTGCCAGGCTCTTACAGGGAGTGCTGGGCAAACCAGGTGCCTGAGGGGCATAGGGCCCATGGCAGCAGCAGCGCTCTCCCCCCATCCTCTTCAGAGAGGGCCTGTGGCCAAAAGCTGGCTCTGAGTGCCCCTCCTTTCAGGGGGGCAGGGGGCTCCTTGCAGGTCATGCTGCAGCGCGGTGGAGGAGGGCTGGATGCTGCAGGGCCCCCCAGCCGAGCTGCCTCCAGGGCCCAGTGCTGAATGGGCTTCCCTCCCAGGGAGAGAAACCCCCAAAGGCCCCAGGCGAGGGAAAGGAGCCAGCGCTCCCCTCATTCTGAAGCCATCGCAGGGTGCTTTGGAGCCTGACTCGAGATATTTGAACATTGAGGGCTGGCAGCCCTCCCCCGGCATGGCAGCCGCCTCGCCCCCCCCCCCCCCCGACAGGATTGGCATGGCCGTGTGTGTGGGCCAGGGCTCTGGCTTGGAGGCTGGGCCTGGGTTGGGCATGTTTGTGTGTTGGTCCGTGTGGGGCGTGTTCCTGAGGCTGTTGGACAGAGGGGTGGGAATGGGGGTCAGGCTGAAGTGTTGGGGCTTAGCCCCCGTCCGCTCTCTCCTTTTGGAAGCGCTTAGCTTGGAAGGTGCCACCAGGGGGAACAGGAGAGCCCAGCCTGTGCTCAGTCCCCGCTAGGGCCTGTGTGCACAGGAGACAGGGCGAGGGAGGCGTGTGTGAGGCATGGGATGGGGGCAGAGCTCCAGCTCTGGGGAGGGGTGCGGAGGCCCCCAGCACAGGTAGTGCTCCCAGGAGCCAGGCTGAGGAGACCCAGCAGACTTGCTGCACCCCGCCCCCGAACAGAGTGGGAGCACGGCAGGAGGGAAAGCTCCCTAGGCAGGTGGCTCCCCTGCCACAGCTTGGGGACCCCCGGGGCTGCTGACTGCACCGTCTCTGGGGTGTGTGCAGCTGACGTGGGGCTCCCCCAAGGAGACCCAGCGCCTCCCGGCGTAGCCCATCCCAGCACCGTGCCCCTTCTCCCTGCAGACTTTCCCCATGCTTGTCGGGGACATGGACAGCTGCGGGAGCCTCAATGCTCAGGTGCTGCATCTGGTGGCAGAGCGGATCCGCACCAAGGCCGTCTTCCAGGTGAGGCCCCGCCCTGGGCCTGCAGGGTAGCGGGGGAGACGGGTGTGGGGCAGGGCATGTAGGGGGAATGGCATGTGGGTGAAGCATGGGGAGGCAGAGCATGGCGTGGGTGGAGTGGGGGCCAGGGTGTGTTGGAGGAGTGGGGGGCGATGCGTGGTGTGGGGGAGAGGGCATGGCATGGCAGTGGGGGTGCCGGGCATGTGTGGAGGAATGGGGGCGTGGCACAGGGGCTGGGCGTGTGTGTGAGGTGGGGGAGCTGGGCATGTGTGTGGAGGTGCAGGGAGCAGAGTGTGTGGAGGTGGGGGGGCTGGGCGTGTGTGTGGAGGTGGGGGCTGGGGGGTTGTGGAGGTTCAGGGAGCAGAGTGTGTGGAGGTGGAGGTGGGAGGTTGTGGAGATGGAGGAGCAGGGTGTGTGGCAGAAGGGGGCTGGGCGTGTGTGTGGAGGTGGGGGGAGCAGGGTGTGGTGAGGAGGGGGGCTGGGGGGTTGTGGAAGTGGGAGCAGGGTGTGGGAAGGAGGGGGGGCTGGGTGTGTGTGTGGAGATGGGGGGGCAGGGCATGGGGCAGAGTGGGGGAGGCTGGCCGTGTGTGTGGAGGTGGGGGGGCTGGGGGGTTGTGGAGTTGGGGGAGCAGAGTGTGGGAAGGAGAGGGGCTGGGTGTGTGTGGAGATGAGGGGGGGGGGAGGTAGGGCATGGCCGTGTGTGTGTTGTTCAAAGTGCTGACGCTGACAGTTAAGCGCTTAGGACCTTGGCAGTTGCCGCGCTCTCCCAGCTGCTAATCTGGCCGCACTGACCCCCTAGAGCCGTGCGGGGCTGGAGCCCAGCCAGTCCCTGCACTGCCTCGGGCGCCCTGGGCTGGAATGGAGAGGGCTGAGGCTGGGAGAGGGGCTCCAGTTTCTCAGCTCCATGCAGAAGCACTGGAGCAATGAGGGCAGCATGGACTAGTGGCTAGAGCAGGGGTGGGAACCAGGACTCTGGGTTCCCCTTGCCTGTTCTAACACTGCCTGGCGGGTGCTGTGCCTCAGTTTCCCTCTCTGCAGTGGGGACGGTGACAGGGCCCAGCCCCCTTCCCCTGGGGGGCGTATGGGCACTGCCCCTGGCAGTCTGCAGGGGAGGGGCCAAGTGTTCTCTCCCAGCACCTGGCTGGGCCCCTCACATCCCCTACATGGTGCCACAGGTTGTGTGTCTCCAGCTGTGGCTGTAGCCAGACCCTGCTCACCGGCCTCCATCATGGGGGCATTGTGCTTGGGAAGGGATCAAATCCCCACTGGTGCCCAGCTTCCCCTCCCCCCTTGAGCAGAGTTTGTCCAATGCACCCCTGGGTGTTGGGTGTGTCCCAGTGTGCACCAGTCGTGCGGGGCTTAATCCCTGCTAATTGGAACTCCCTGGGGAGGCTGTAAATGCAGGGGTAAATCTGGGTGCAGCACCGGTGGGGGGGCAGAGCACCCCAGGGGTGGGGGTGGGGAAGGCTGGGTGGAGCTCCCAGGACGGGGCCAGAGGAAGGCTGGGCGGAGCAGGAATGCCCCCTATGATCATAGTGAGGCGGGGGAGCTGCCCTGGGTTGGGTGGGGACCTCCTTTGGGTTTGCTCGTCTCTGCCAGGGTCTGGCTCTGCTTTCCCCTGTGCCAAGCTGTACCTGGAGCCCTAGCAAGGGCCCTCCAAGGGGCTTGAGGGGAGGCCACAGTCAGATCACGGCCCCAGCTGCTGAGGGAAGGAGAGTGGATAGAGGTGAGATTTACTGGCTGCTCCCCAGGTGAGCCCTCATGATGGTATGACGACATGGGGCAAGGTGTGGGGCATGGGGCTGTGATCGGCTGGGGCGTAGGCAAGGGTTGGGGCAGGGTTGGTGGTGGGGCTGTGGGGCGAGGCATGGGGCTATGATGAGATGGGGTCAATGGGTGAGGTGTGGGACAGGGCAGAGTGTGGGGCTATGATAGGGTGAGGCTGTGATGTGGATGGGGCAGGCATGTAGTGGGGAGGGTGGGGCAGGGCAGGGGAAGGGTGGGGCGGGTTTTGGGGCAGGGGGTGCCGCACCCCCGGCTAAGCCCCCGCCGTTCCCTGCAGACGCAACAGGCCCGGTTTGTGACGTGGCAGTTCAGCGGGGAGCTCCGTGGCGATGACTACACGGCCACACTGACGCTGAGCAACCCCGACATGCTCAGCCAATCAGGTGAGCCCCAGCTTGTGGGCCCCGTTGTCCTGCCTCACTTCCTGTCCTAAACTCTCCTGCCACTGGCTCCTTCCACCCTCTTCCTGTCCGAGACCTGCAGCCCAGGGCTCAGCACGGAGCAGCCTCCCCTCCCCTACCGGGTGTGGACAGCCTGGTGCCCAGCCCCGTGGCCACACTGCTCTGGGGCTAGCGGCGGGGCGATGAGCCCCCCCCATGTCAGATGGGGAGGGGAGCATTGGCTAGTGTGCAGGGCTGGGAGTCAGGACTCCTGTGTTCTGTGACCTTGGGCAGGCCCCTCCCTGCTCAGTGCCTCAGTTTCCCGTCGGCTGGCCCTGGGAGGTGGGGTGGCGGTTGCGGAGTGCAGTGCTAACGGTCTCTCCCTCCCTGCAGTCATTGTGGTGGCGCACTTCCTGCAGAGTGTGACCTCGCGGCTGGTGCTGGGCGGGGAGATGTTGTATCACCGGCGCCCGGGCGAGGAGGGCGCCATCGTCACCCTGGCAGGGAAGTACACGGGTACGAGCCTGGCTTGGTCACTGCCCCCTGCCTGTGCCAGAGCTGAGCCTCGGGGAAAGGGGGGGAGGCTGTCCCAGCCCTGGAGCACAGAAATGTCATGGGATGGCACAGCTGGTATCCCTGCTTAGAGACCCATTGTGGGGGGCAGGGGTGGGACTGGGGAGCATTGGCTGGGATAGCAGGGGCTGTGGGTCAGCACAGAGGGGCATCGCAGGGGAAGCCTGTACAGCGCCTACCCGAGTTGTCCCCTCCCGGCCAGGCTTCCATCCCAGCACGCTTCTGAGTGAGTTAAAGGCCGTGCCCAGCCCCTCGCCAGCCCTGCCCCCCTTGCCAGCTTCACTCCCTCTGTATCTCTGCAGCTCGCAAGTGGGTGGCGACGCTGAACATTGGTTATGGCGGGGCCCATGCCAGCTACTACCACAAAGCCAATGAGCAGGTGAGCCTGGCCCCCCCCAGGGGCTGCCCCCATCCTCCAGGGCAGCCATGGGGCACCCCTCACCCTGCGCTTCCTCCCCTGCAGGTGCAGGTCGGGGTGGAGTTGGAGGCCAACACCCGACTGCAGGACACGACCTTCGCCTTCGGCTACCAGTTCAACCTGCCCCCGGCCAACGTGGTCTTCCGAGGTGAGTGCGGAGCCGGGCCAGCCCCCACTCGGGCAGGGGGCTGCCCAGGGCTGTGCCAGCCTCGCCCAGGGGGCAGGGCGTCTCCAGGGCCATTGGACCCACAAACTCCCTGCCCTCACAGTGCAAGCTCACACCTCCCACAACATGGCTGCGTGGTCCTGGCGGGAGCTGACTGGGACTTGGACTGAGGATGTTCATAGCTGGGGTCAACTCCGCTCAGGGGGTTTGGCCTCTGATCCCCTCCACCCACTTGCTGAGGGCTGGCCCGGGCCTGGAGCCTGTCCCGTACCCGCTCTCCCCTCGCTCCTCTGTGCCAGCTTCTCTGTCCTGCTCCCAGCACCATCCTGGGGCTTCGCGGCAGCAAGCATGGAAGCAGACCCCCCCAGCTATCACAGCACAGGCCTAGAGTCCCTGAGCTACAGGGGAATCTCCCTGTTCTTGAGCAGTACAGGGCCTATTGCACACCGCAGAGCTGTTCGTATCCCATCCAGTAGGGGGCAGTAGCGACCCATCCGCCTTCATTGTGCGTAAGGCTGTATTATTAGTGAAAAGGGCTAGAAGCTTCTGCCCAGGGTTTGTGAAATCTCCCATCCCCCACACCGAGCCAGCCAGTCCGCCACCCCCAGGGCTGGATCGGAGTCAGAACCCCCTACAGGGGAGGCCCCATATCCCATCTCTCCTGAGCCAGCCAGTCCCTCCACCCCGGGGCTGGACCAGAGCCAGCATCCCCTAGAGGGGAAAAGCCCCATATCCCATCTCCCTCTGAGCCAGTAAGCACCCCTGCTTTGGGGCCAGATCATAGCTGGCGCCCTCTAGAGGGGAAAGGCCCCACATCCCCCAGGTCAGTTCCTTCACCCTTGGATCAGATCAGAGCCAGTGCCCTCAGAGGGGAAAAGCCCTGTGACTCTCATCCCCTGAGCCAGTCACTTCCCTTTCCCTGGGGCCAGATCAGAGCCGGCGCCCCCTAGAGGAGAAAGGCCCCATATCCCTCACGTCAATCCCTTTGCCCTTGGGCTGGATTGGAGCTGGCGCCCCCTAGAGGGGAAAGGCCCTGTTCCTGAGCCAGCGCTGCTCTCTCCCAAAGGATGCCTGAGGCAGGGCTTTCTCCTGCAGGAGCGGGGCACAGATCTGGCAGTGTGGGGCCAACCCCGAACTGCATTGAGTGCTGGGAGCACAAGGGGTGGAGACTGCAGCCAGTGTGCCCTGTGACTTGGCCCGTGGGACTGCCAGGCAGGGCCGGTACAACCTATTAGGCGACCTAGGCGGTTGCCTAGGGCGCTAGTATTTGGGAGGCGGCATTTTCTTCGGCGGCGACCCCAGCGACCGGATCTTCGGCTGCCCCAGTCATCGTCAGCATTTAGGCAGAGGGAGCTAGGGCAGGGGGGCGTGGGGAGGGCCGCCTGCAGCAAGTAAGGGGGAAGGGGCGGCATGCAGGGGAATTCCCCGCCCCAGCTCACCTCTGCTCCGCTCATCCCCTGAGCATGCCGCCCCGCTCTGCTTCTCTCCCGCCCAGGCTTGCGGCGCCAAACAGCTGATTGGCACCGCAAGCTTGGGAGGCGGGAGAAGTGGAGCAGCGACAGCGTGCTCGGGGAAGAGGTGGAGCAGAGGTGAGCTGGGGTGGGGAGCTGCCGCACGGCTCCCTGGGCGGGGGGGG